CGTCGAGCTCGTGAAAGAAGCGGCAGCGCTGGCGGGCGACGCCGTCCCGGAGCTTGGCTTTCTTGTAACTCTTCTTGAGGTCTTTGCCTTTCGTCCGGCACTGGTCCTCGTCGCGGAAGTAGCCCTTCTCCGCCATGCGCTCGGAGATCCACTGGTAGACGTCGGCATTCCGGTGGCACCGGTTGAGCTGCGCCTGGATGGCCTCCTCGCCCCACAAGGCGAGGAAATCCAGGGTCTCCCGGTGGCTCCAAGTGGCCGCCCGAGTTCGAGGCACTTTGGGGCGATCCGTCGTCCTCGGGCCCAGGAAGGAAGAAGGGGAAGGCGAGGACATCCCGGGGCGGGCGAGGAAGCGGGGTGGGTGGGCAGGTGGGTGCCCGGGAGCAGAAGGACCAAATCAAAGGGAAAGGAAAGGAAGCGGGGGGAGGGGAGGGAAGGGGCCCCCACCTCTGTTTAATTAAGAATCTAACCCCGGTGCACGCCGGGATATACCCCCCTCCCTAACCCAGAAGACCGAGCGAGGCGGAGTAAGAGGGGCGGGTACCTCCGCGGTAGCACGTAACCCGAGGTGGGACTTACTGCGCAACCATTGGCCAACGCGCCCGTGGTATGCATATGAACCTGATTTAAATCGGGACTCTGGCTCGGTCTGCGCCGGCGCAATAGAGGGGGAAAGTCTGCTTTGTACCCCCGCCCCCCGAAAGAGCAGAGCTCTTACCTCCCAGGGAACCCGGGAGTCAAAGCGGTCCTCATCCTCTTGGCTACTTTTCTTTCTACTCCTGATCTGGCACGGCGTCTGAAGGTCCCCCTCTCCCCAGCTGAGCCTAATCCGGCTGTATCTTAAGGAGAGGTCATGAAGCCATTATTAACCCTGGACTGAATCGCAGTAGCTATTCCGGATTTCTCTCCCGAAAGGGAACACCAGCAAAATGAAATCCGCTGATTAGGCGAATTGGAAATCAGGAGTCGATCGAATTCGAATACGTCTGAAACTTCAGGGCTGGCATTGGTGGGGGGATGACATTGGTCCAGCGATCCCGCAAGGACAGGTTTCTTTCACCCTCCCCCCTGGGCCCCCGACCCAATTGCTCCGAAGAGCCTCACGCTCACACGGGCTGTTTGCAAGAAACGCTCATCCTAGTTTACTGAAGTACGATTTGCTCATCGACCCAACTTTCCAGATTTGGACGACGCTGAGTTGCAGAATAACACGGGCTGGGACACTGTCCACGCACCACCTAAGCCACAAACCTAAGTTTAAGGCTAAAGCTAATTTTAGCGCGCTGTTCCAGCCTGGCCACGCAGAAGTTTCCAAAACCGTAGCCGTGTGACTCCAATGCAGCAAAAGCACCCACAGACAAAACCAGCCACCTTGGGACACTTGGCAGGCTAATACTGAACACAGCACGGAAGTGATCGCGGGTCCCAGCGCTTGGGCTAAAACGCTTTTGTTGCGTTTTTCTCAACACAGAGACATTTCCTCGATGCAGATTTCCTCGGCTAAGGTGGAGGCTACTTTTGTGGATTAAAACCAGGTGGAGGGATCCGAGGCAGAAGCGCTGCCGGGTCCTGCGAGGGAGGCGCAAGCACGCCCGACCGTCCCCCGGCGGGTCTTTAGCAGCGCCCAAATAACGCACCCCAAGAGCACCCGCGGAAGCGACACGTCCCGAACCTGGATTGTCAGTAAAGGCCGCCCTACCCGGGTAGGACCGGGAGCTCAGCCAGTGAAGTTGGCTGCCCTAAAAGGCGCGAAGGTCAGGGACTGAGCGAGCTTGGG